TTTCGAACAAAGCCGAGTTATGCAAATTTCTGAATGAATGCACCTAAAGCGACCCGTCCATCCCATTTGCCAACCTCGTGCACTTCCCATTAACAAGCCCATTCCTCGTGTTCATTCCCTTCTCATACCATCATCTGGCTTCTACAGTAATCCGTTTTCATATGTTTCTTTATAATAAATTCAGAACGCTCTCATAGTGGTAAGTGTACGTGAGTTGCGCTAATCGTAAAAATAAAATGAATAGAATGCGAATGTTGTTTATTCAGATAAACATCCTGCACGATATCATTGAGTGAATCTCATCTGTTGAGAGGCATTGTGTTGAGTGAAGAATCGCTCCAATGCAATGCTTCTTCCCTACGGCTCTCTTCATTTCGGCCGTTTGCATCACACAAGGTTCACACTTTTGATCTCCTTGCATTTGTTCATTTGTTACGATTCGTATATCATTTTCCCATAGATTCTACTTATGCTTATCCTTTACAAATTCAGTGGAGGAAGTAACCGAGAATGCACATCATCCATACGTTCAGCAAACTTAATGCACACATTATCAGACATTAATTCACTGGTCATCCGTTAAATTAATCACAGACTGATCATCGGCTTAGTTTATGATCAATTGATCATGCTTTTCATAAACAGTCCTAATCAGAATATTCCATACCTGAATCTTGCTTGCAGTGTTCCATTTAGAGTGCATATGGACATTCTCTGAATGAACATTCTTTCAGTTCATTTCACAGATATCATGTGAATTTATTGCAGTGCTGTCGGCTTCAGAGACACTGCTGTCGAGTTTGAATTATTACGAAATAATTCGCATCAATCGACGCATTGTAAAGAGAAGTACCAATTCAGTTGGATCATCTTATACTAAGCACGAAAGACTGTTGTTTAGGTTGGGACAAGTCTCATTGATGAATTATTCATGAGGTTTGAAAGCTGACATAGATATATATCTCTAGATCAGTTCAAAGCATTCTTGAGGGTTTACTATTGTCAGTTTGTAAAAACCGAATGCAGATTCGGCAGCCATTGTAATGATAAAAATCATTAATGATATTTTTAATGATTAGGGTAATAATGTAAAATGATTACTTTTCAATTCAGTGCATTTAATCGTCAGTTTGATGTTCATCTGTCACCAAAACGCGGTCTACTACATTCACAATTCAGCGCGCATACGGTAGATGAATACGGTAATCGAAAACCACTCTATCTGGATCCTGATGAATATTTTGACGGACATGTTCATGGTTGGTGGTGCAGTTGCTGTTTTTAATTAGAGTACAAATGAGTATTGTTATCTTGATAGGTTTTAATCGATTCACTGTACAAAAATGCAATTTTGTTCAGATGCTGCGAAGGATTCTAGAGTGGCGTTGACNAGATGAATCGCGGTGATATATTGACCTATCGAAGTTCCGATATGAAACTCAATGTGAATCTCGCGAATGGTATATTTTGTGCTAATGTCAATTCCACATTGACTAGTAATAAAGCACTCATGAACAACGTCTCATCATCACACAAACGATCCAAACGTTCAAACACCGCCAACGGAGTCATGCTCAAAAATCGGTATGTACTAGTTTCTTAGACTTAATTCTTTCACTCATTAATGGATGTCACAAATCGAGAATTGATTTTAAAAAGAAACGGAAATAAAGAATGAGGTGAATAGAATTGATAATATTTTACAGTTGTTCAGTTCGGGTCGTTGCTGATCATCTGTTCTTCAATGTTATTGGGAATGGCAGCGAGGCGTTCTCGGCGAGATATTTGGTTGGTGTGCTGCATTCATTCAATAGATGCACTGATGAATTTGTTGAAAATCTTCGAAACCATTGCAAGTATCAGTTCATTATGTGACTTAGCGCTCGAAGTAATTTGCAAAAAATGTCGGGTATGAAAAAGTTGAACACCGAATCATTCAGATCAATGTGATCGATCGAATCAATATATTGTATACGACAACCGACTGGGGTGTGGACGATGAGGGTAGACGTATGGTCAATATGGGATTCATGATCAAAGATATGCTCGTGCATAGTAGAGCAACCGTCGGCGAACCTGACCACTATAACGCACCACTTAAAGGGAAACGCAATGTGGAGCATTTGCTTGGGGTTAGTTGGCTATGATTTGCAACTGTTTTTGATTCAGATCATTTAGTAATTCGCACTATTATTCTCATCGATTATTTTATTGTTTTCCTTATCATCAGAGCTATTGATAGTTGATAATAATAACAATAATATTAAGAGGCTGGCACTATCATAAATTGCAGAATTTTTCGAGGCAACAAGGCTCGGGCGAATATTGTTTGGTTCATTTGTTCAC